TTTCGAGAAACGATCAACGATCACCATTACTTGTGAATAACCGTTTCTGCTCTTCTTCCCCATGTCCGTGAAGTCAATGGAAACAGACTCACCCGTACCATCAGGGATAGGAAGAGGGTGCAGCAGCCCATAGGGCTTCTGCCGAGACGGTTTGATGCGTTGGCAGACTTCACACTCAGCCACAAACCTTTGTGCCATTCTTTTCATTCCAGGCCACACAAACTTTTCCAACAGATTCCCGTATGTCTTCTCAACACCGAAATGTCCACTCCGACCATGAGCCAAATCCAAGAAGTGAGTCATGATCGGCTCATGGTTGGGCACACACAATCAGTCACGCTTCCCGTAGCGTCGGAAGAGAAGGCCCTTACATTCATGGAAATCAGGCTGACTGCTAGGGTCAGCCCGAATCTGCTCAAGGATGGGACTGAGTTCCGAATCCTTGGCAGTATGGTCAATGAGTTCCTCCTTCAAATTTTCACGAAGATCGTAGGAACCCACAAGGCAAGTCATGTACTCAGGGTGGCGAGGCAAAGCATCCGCAACTCGATTGTAACAGCCTTTCTTGTGCTTAATCTCAAAATCATACACATCAATCTCATGCAGCCAGCGGGTCAATGTGGTTGAGGGATTAATCTGTGTCTGAATCCATTTCAAAGTCTCGTGATCTGAGAACACTTTGAAATGGCGACCCAAGAGGTAGTGTTTCCAATGATCCAGTGCCTCTCTCAAGGCATAGAGCTCTCGTATGTAAGTGGAAGCAGCTACCTTGTGACTGGGCATGCGTTTGCTGTAGTATTCAAGCGGACGTAGGCCATCACCATCGTCTTGCTGCAGCACTGCACCAATCCCATACAAACTTGCATCCGTAGTTACTACGAACGTAAGCTTGGGATCCGCAATGCGGAGCACCGCATGAGTCACCAAAGCCTCCTTCAAGGCGTTGAAGGTTGTCGTGCATTCCTCATCCCATATGTAGGACACATTCTTGCTTGTTAGTCTAGACAGCGGACGGGCGATGATAGAGAATTTGGGCACAAACTTACGGTAGTACAACGCAAGACCAAGAAAAGAACGCAACTCGCGGACATTCGCAGGTTGAGGCCATTTTCGGATGACCTCAACTTTGGTTGCCTCGGGCTCTAGGCCTGCAGCAGACAACCGATGTCCAAGGTAGATGACGTTGTCCCTCCCTAACTCAGATTTCTCCAAGTTGAGATGGAGCTGCGTGTCCTTGAGGACCTGCATCACTTCCTCAAGGTGTCTCATATGCTCCTCCATCGATTTGCTGAAGATTAGTATGTCATCCAGATATACAACAACAAATCGGTTGATCTGATTGCGAAATACCTTATCCATGATACTTTGAAAGGTGGATGGCGCATTCGTGAGACCGAAGGGCATGACTGTAAACTCGTACAGCCTATCGCGAGTTTTGAATGCAGTTTTATGCTGGTCTGCAGGATCGACTTCAATCTGGTGGTAGCCAGACTTGAGATCGATCTTGCTGAAGACTTTGCATCCACCTGCAGCATCAAGCAGATCATCGATACGTGGCAAAGGATATGCATTCTTTCTTGTGATTCGATTCAATCCGCGGTAGTCAATACACATCCGTAGTTGGCCTCTTTTCTTAGGGACAAACAGAACCGGTGCACCAAACTCAGACTCACTTGGTTTGATCCATCCCTTCCCAATCATATCATCAATCTGCCTTCGCAACTCTTCCAATTCGCCTGAGCTCATCCGATAGAAACAACCCTTTGGAGGAGTGCTACCTTCAATCAACTCGATCTTGTGTCGGACCGGACGCACGGGGACTCCATGCGGTTCGGCCAAGACTTCTGGAAATCGGTTGAGAAGGTTGCAAATTTCTGATGGGATCTCCGGAGGTGGATCATCACTCTCGGGTGCAAGCATACCAAATTGCATAGGTGCAGCCAACACAACAGAGTTGGAAGTGGAGTCATTTGGACTAGAAGTAGATTTAGTAGAGGTAGAAGTAGTTGCCTCAGAAGTAGAAACAACATGCAAAGTCGAATCATTATGTACAACAAAAATAGAAGGCACATGAGCAGGCCTAACAAAGGCTATATACATTTGCTCATCAACTTTGCGTCTGCGCCACTTTTTGCAGAATTGCATCGCATTGAGAAAAGTTCCTTGGGACTCGCGCGGCTCATCCAAGAGGACTGGACGTTCGATTCCCATGGCATCTTTGACCATGAATTGTGAGTCCTTCCACGTGGTTCTTTCACATTGGACCTGCAACCAGCCCAAGCCAATAACCGCGTCGAAGGGGCACTAATCAAGGACATAGAAGTTCAACTCATGTGTGATCGTGTGGTCAGCGTCAAAGGTAGTGCGCACACCTTTGACTGCATGCGTAGATGTGACAACCTCTTGGTTGCCCACTTGGGTCCGGCAAGGATTTTGCAAGGTCACTTGCTTCATCCCCAAGCGTGCCTTACGAATGCCGTGCGGTGAGAAGTAGTTGGCGGTTGCACCACAATCAGCCAACGCACGGATGTAATGGCCATTAATGTAGAGTTTGAAGAAGATCAACTTCGTTCTTCCTTGCGCGCGTTCTTGCGTCATATGAGCCTTTGCGCGCGTTCTTGCTTCATATGAGCCCTTGCGAGCGTTCTTGCTTCATATGAGCCCAGCGCGTCAACAAAGCATGGAAGTCAATTTCTTCTGACTCTACCCAAGGCTCCTTGTATAGGATGTGTATCTTCTCAGCCTTGGAATCAACATCAGATGGGGTTTCAGGAGAGGTTTGTTGAGTGGGATCAGAATCCAGAGAAGGATCTGTACTTACATGTTCAGCCTCTCCATCTGTAGAGTGCGCTGATGATGTCTCTACCCCCGTTGCTGGTTTCCCTGCTGCAATCTGAAACATTGTTGGACTGAGTGTCCCGGTTTGGTGCAATGCAGGCAAACCCCTTTCTTCACCCTGTGTTTCCACTCACTTTCACTAATCCGGAGATCTACCCATGGTTTGGTGGCAGGATCTTCCGGTTTGGGTGGAATTTTCGCTCCCTTGGGAAGAAGAATGGTGTTAGTATTGTTCTTCATTGTGGTCCTTGGTCCCTTACTTTTAAAGGCATTCTTTGTGAAGGCGTTCATAGATTCATCGTCGTTCACATACTTAGACTCATGGGCTGACAAAGAGCAAGATGCCCCGCAGTCTTGCTCTTGATCGTCATCAAGAGAAGATTCCTCCACGAGGGTCTCCTCGTCAGCCTCAAAACGGTTGCTGCCTGGAAACCGTTTGCGGTCGATGGTCTTTTTGCCACTTGATTCACCCGGGAGGTCTTGTGCCTCCAGCTTGACTAAGTCCTGCATGAGGGTAAGCCAATCTGTATATGCGCTGAGTTCGAGCCCTAGGCGATCTTTTATAGTAGAGGGGACCGTACCTTTTATCACATCCAGACAGGACTGCGCAGTCATCTCCAGATCCGGAGTAGCAAAGAGTTTACTAACATACTGCTGCAGGCTGTGCATGGTGCCGGTCCACTTGCTGTGCTTGAGCTTGTCAAGCTTSAGTCTAGCCTKGGCTGCAGCATGTGGATCARCATACTGTTTGATCAAGAGCTCTTCGAGTGTGGCTACGGGCGTAACCTTCAACCATTTGTTCAGGTCTATCCTTTTATAGCCTGCTTGTACAACTTGGATTTCCAAGAATCCTCTCACGGCGGGTTCCACATTGGTCCCTAGGACCGACGACTGGGTAACTGGGAGTGTCCCCAACACATCGAAGTAGGATCGCATGGAGCTGATCCAAGATTCGATGTCGTCCTTTCCGTCATACTTAGACAGAATCTGGGCCGCCTTTCTATCCATATAGGAAAAGCTGCAGCTTGGACCAGCGGCTGCTGGGTCCGGACTCGGGACTGCAACAGTTCCAGAATGCCCAGCACTGCTACTTGCTGTTGCAGCAGCAGCAGCAGCAGCGAGATCTGGACCTGCTGCAGAATCTGGATAGGCTGTTGGCCACACTCAAAGAAGAAGAAAAAGTAGAAGAAGACACATTTAGAGGGGCAAAAACAGACTGACACGCAGCACTAGAAGCAGGGTAGGTAGACGGAAGGATGCTTTGAGCTGGCTGCACATTAGTAAACTGTTGCAGCTGTTCACGGTGCTGCTGCGCCATCAGGGCCATGTCCTCGCGCAACTTCTTAAGTTCATCGAACACTTTGGCGAGTTGGCCAGTGCGGTCCTCGACAGTCCGGACATCCACCAAAGCCCGGAGGAGTGGAACGGTTTTCTCTTCCACCTCCGCATCGGTTAGGGGAGGCAAGGTACAGAAAAGGGCTTCATGAGCCTTTCACTTCTCCTCCCTCTCCTTCTCTTTCTCTTCCTCCTCCCTCTTCAATGCTTTCTCATAGAAGAATCGGTACTGCGCTTTCTCTGCCTCAGGGGCAGCGTCCATTTGCAGCTTCCAATCTGCTACAGATGCCATGAAGGAGGACGAGGGAATCAATAAGTCTCTCAAGAGAGGTCCGTACTTCCTTACTTGTCTGGGACGAACACTTCTCTTCCCTCTCCTCACTCCCTCAAGAGCAACACTCAGAAGCTTCTCTCTTCTCTCTCTCTCTCTCTCGTTTGCGACCGTGTAGACGCAGGCATTAATGAACCCAATAAAAGAAACAGCTTGAAATCAGTCAGAAGAGAAGGTAGAACTCCTAGCCGGAGCGGCAATTCATTTGGACTGGAGAGCAGTCAAAACAACAAAAAAAAGGAATAAAGATCAGAGAGATCTGATCCAGCCACACAGTCTGGCCCGACTACGTATGGGGTCCTCCCAAGCCTAGCCGGACTCAGCTCCGTGAAGACACAACAAATCAGATTCAAAGTGTACAGCGTAATGCAAGAGAGAATTGAGTGGTGTCCAAGGTGCCAGTCAGGCGGCGGATCGTGCGGTAAAGTTTGATAAAACGTCTCAGCGGAGATCCCCTCCGCAGCGAGTGTCCTGGTCCGAAAGCATAAAGTCCGCGTCCCAATCAGATAGAGCAAGGTAACTGACGTCAACAGATTTGGCCTGAGGGGCCCTTCTTGTTTGGGCCCGGTCCCACTGAGTCCCAAACGGTCCCAGTGGAGTCAGAACCGGGTCCCAACCAACAAGAGTTCCACAAAGACCTACTCTGTCCCTACCAAATTGAAAAACGAAATTTTGCCCCAGAAAGAACCTGTAGACTACAGCCGTTCAGAATGAAATAAACAAAGCACTGTAGAGAGATATCACATGGGAAACAAGATACTCCATCCATTCACTCGTCAGGCAAGTAGGCAGTTCACACACCTCACACACAATCAAGACTATGGAGGATGGAAGAAGAACCCAGAGAACCCCAACAGGCAGTCAATTCCATGCACACACACATGGGCACCCTGGTGGCACGACACTTACCTGAGTGGCCGGGCTCTTGAGATGAAAAGAACTCACCCCCCTCTCACATAGTCCTCCTGACCCAATTAGCATCCTCTACACTAGTGTCCTATCGTCTAGGAGGGTCAACATCTACCCCAAAGTACAAAGCCGGATCTCCCGTCGATGTTGAAGATCAAAGCAGCAACTTGCAGTCCGTAGGTGCAGATATGGCTGCCACCCTCAAGCTCGCCTACTTGAGGGGAGCCCTAAAGTCACTCCTCGTCTTCCTTGAAGTCCAGATTYAAGTTGTAGGTGCCCTTCACTGTCGCCTCTCTCAAATTGCATCACGAAGTCCCACCTTGTGTCCCGCCACCACAAACATGCACTCAAACAACCTGGCCGGGGCTAGTGTCGACCCTACACGGCCCTGCCAGGTGGGAGCAGCTTCCCTTTACCACGCTGCCCCACTTAACCCTAACTTCCAGCCCTAACCCTAAGTGGTTAGCCCTTACCACTAGGGTTAGGGTTATGGCAGCAAAGTCAACTCTCGCCAGCAAGTAGAATCTGCTCTGATACCAATGTTACGATCCTGGCCAATTTCGAAGCATACATTCATCTGAAAGTATAATGCCATCCAATTGCAAAAAGAAATGAATGAACTTGAGAGGAAAGAGAGGGAAAGAAGAAGAAGAAGAAGTGAGAAAGAAGAAGATGATGATGTACTCCAGCATAGACCAATGTCAAGGCTCTTCTTCTTCGCCAACCAATCCCTTCCTCCTTATCTCCTCCCCTCTTATTCAATCAAGAAATAACAATAATAATGTTGAATGACTGAACCAGAATCAATGTCCGAATCCCACTTCTACTGCAGGCACAACACTCAGTCCACCATAGCCATGGCCACCCTTCTTCTTCCTCTACATACAGGCCGAGGCTATGGCGGACTACTGAGGCTTCCGCCTCCTGTCCAAAGGACAACCCAAAGAAGCTATGCCGCTGCCCCACTTCAAGGTCATCACCATGCAGCTATGCCGCTGCCCACTCAGCCACCATGCCTGACTCTGTCCCGAGCTTCCTTGATGCGGCACTACCCCAACGGGGGCCTTCCTGATGCAGCGCCTAGCAAGGAGATGAAGATGGTGTCTACCATAGCCAGGTAGTGCCTCGCCACTCTCCTCCTTGGTCCCCTTCTCCCTCCTCCTCCTACCAGTAGAGCTCCACCATAGCCAAGGTGGAAGCTCCCGGCTTCTTCCTCCCAGCAGCGCTGTAGTACCCAGCGCCACTCCAGCCAGCGCTCCAGCAGCGTGTCGCCAAACTTGCACACTGAAGAATGAGGCTAGGCTCTCCGCCCGGCCTCTTGATATAGCGGCCTACTTGCCTCCTGGGYGGTGACTTCCAGGCCGCTCGGCCTCTCCAAGCAACYGGTACTTCCTCCGTTTCGGAGGGAAACATCATTGCAGACCCTGATATTACCCGTACAGGCTCTAGACTCAGACTGGTTGGACTGGTACCGGCCTAGACCTACCCTACCGCTACTGGACTCTAAAAATGCCAACTTTGTCTTTTTCTGCTTGGCCTCCAGTACCCCCTCACGCCAACTGCAGTGGGGTGCAGTATCGGCCTACCGGCCCTTTTGAGTGTTTTTCCGCTACCCCAAGGGCCGCGGGGCCGCTAGCTTCGCCACTTGAGTGTTTTTCCCTGCTACAACCCGAGAGGCGGTTAACGGAGACCCAAAATTTCAGCGTTTTTTTAATGTTATTTATAAGAAAACCAGAAGGCCTTTTTAACCAACGTGTGCCCCCAAACCCTAATTTCAGTTTTGGACCTGTTACTCAGGGGCTGAAAACTGGGGGTCCCCGTTAACCACGTGTGCAGAACTTCAGAAATCAGCAGTGTTCTCAGTCTGTGTTTTGACGGGTCATTACAACACTGGGTACCTGGCCAAAGACTATATTCCAAGTAGATACAACAATTCAAGATTTAGAATTTGACCCAGACGAATGGGCCTAGACCTCAGGCAGTAACATAGCATATAGGACCCCCAGGCACATAACCCAGTACACAGTCAGAATGGGATACAGACTACCACTGAAAACAAAGGACCCAGAGCCTGTAATAAAAGAAAGATGGACAAAACTGCTAGGATAGAGAATGGAACCAATCTCCGAGTTGCCCTGGACGAAATACAAATCAATACGCCCAGTCAAGATCAGAAGTCTTCAATGGTTGATCACATACAATGCCCTCCCAGTAAACTCTTGGCTACACGTTCGTAGAAAGAATAGCGACCCAAATAGTTCAGAACAATGCGTGGTCTGTTCGGACAACGAACAAGACGATTTAATTCACTGTCTCATAACCTGCAAATTCGCTACTGAATTATGGGCAAGAGCCTCAACACTCGGGGACTCCCTCTTTCCCTCCTCCCTTCCCGAACACCCGATCCAATTATTTTTATGGACTAACATCCCAGCCCAATTTACTAAATCTGAACGCATCTGGTTTGGGATAATCAGGAAAGTAACACTTTGGGTCATTTGGAAGGAGAGGAGCTGTAGGACCATCGACAAGTCAAGCAACCCGAGTGAACAGATATGGGCAAGTACGAAACCTCTAATGGAGACGGAGATCCGATGCCAGTGGAAGAAAGTCACACTCCAAATCCAACAAGACCCGGAGAAGCAGCAAGAGCTAATATCAAAGTTCAAGAAAATTTGGCTGGCCCACGGAAAGATCGCGGAGATTCACGGATCGCAAATCAGATGGCAAGACTGGCATAACTCGGTGGCTGCCCAGGAGACACATAATTTACATTATGACCAACAGCAAGACTTCAGAGCAACATGACATGATCCAATGTTATATCAGTTCTGATCTCTGCTTTCCCTGTTTTATCGTTGAACTAACTGATTCCCCGCAGAGGGATCAGAGAGGGGATTTGAGAAGGAACTCAGGGATAGGCAAGCTGACAGTCAATCCTCCAATCCTCGTCACCGATCAGGAACCTTTCCAGCAGAAGATCCAGGTACTTGAGGAACCAGCTCTAGTTTTTCCTCGAAGAAATACACGCGCGACAGGTGGAAGCCGGCGCTTCACATGGAACACATGGAAAATGATTAATCTTCTTTAGGGTTTAGGGTTTAGAGCTGAGGGTTGGGACATAAACAAGACAAGCAGGGGCTAAAATTCAAAAGAGTTCACAATGCCTACCTGTAGGGCTTAGGGTTTTGACAGCATTGGTAGCAGATGTTGCTTCGTCGACCATTCTTGCTCTACATGTTTTATCTGACAGGTTATTATAGTAATCCTGAGAGGAAAGGTGTAAACAGGGCAAGCTGACAGTCAATCCTCCTCATTGTTGGAGTAATCAATGCTGATCAGGGTTCCTTTGGCCAGACGGAAGGAAGCGTGGGTGAGTTCTATGCTGTAATATTATCACGACTTGCCGGTGGAATAGGAACCGGACTGATGCTCCCCAGAATGGAAATGGAGCCAGGACCATAAGGACCTGTTTAAAAAGAAAAAAAGAAAAAAAAAGAAGAAGAAAAAAAAAGAAAGACATGAAAGGAAAAGCCTGCCAGATTTTTCCAATTAACACCAAGCTATTCAATCTGATCAAACTGCCAGATTTTTCCAATGAATACCAAGCTATTCAACCTGGCTCTTCTGAGAGACGGTAATGGAAAGCCCAAAATTCGGGTTTTTTTCGCCGCATCACCACAAGCAATGTCGCTTAAAATTTCACAAACAAACAACGCAGCCTCTTTTGGTGAAAACTTTACCAAAGTAACACCACCTATTAACCATTAGTGGCCCTTGTGGTCTGTTTTTGCACCCCTGGGGAGACCTTAGCCGTTCCAATTTGGGGACAAGCTTATTTTCTTCTTCGGACTGTTATTTTCCTGCTTTTTCCCATCTGTTTTTTCCATACTTTTGGCGCCGGGTACCTGGGCTTTGGCAGGATCTGGTTTTCTTATGGCTCCCATGCCCAGTCTGTCTTGCGTCCCGTTGCAGGTACCACCCTATATTTCAAATGTATTTGGCCATTTTTCTGGTCCAGTTTCGCGGTGAGTGGCTTCTCTGGGTGAACTCAGCCTTGGCGGCGGTTGCTGGGTACCGTATGGAGACTTGCTGGCGCTGGGAGTATATAAGTGCAAAATCGGTTTGGAGATCGTCATCTTTGCTCTGCTGGCGTGCGCCTCGCCGCAGGCTCACATGCTGAGCACTCGCCATCACAGCACGGTCGGGCTCGCGCTCACTTGAGCGCTGATGTTTCCTCGCTCCCTGCACTTCTGACAGTGGTTGCTCCAGGAGGCGGCGGTGGGATCGGATTCGGTGCTTTGCTGGCAGCTCAACCGGCTCTGTTTTGGTTTCGGGGATCGCCCGTTCTCCATGGTTGTGTGTTTCGTTGTCCTGTGCATGTGCTCTGTGCCCAGACATGGTGAAAGTGCATAATCAACGGCCCGGTTTTCATCATCGTTTTTCTGTGCCTTGTGCCGAGAGTATCGTGCTCCTGGGGGATTGAGGCCGTGTGTATGGTGTGTCTTCTTGGTTGGATGATAGCAAGTAGGATATATCCTACACCATACACTGAGCTATGGGGTTTAGGGTTTAGGGGGTGACTAGTATATCCTACACCATACACTGAGCTATGGGGTTTAGGGTTTAGGGGGTGACTAGTATATCCTAGGAGGTGAGACTCTAGGAATGGCCTCCTGCATTGAGCTATGGGAGTGTGGGTTGAATCCTCCCGATGAAGCTACGTGTAGGGTAGTTGAACCGTGTAGGGGAGTGGCCGCATGTTTTGTGGACGATTGCAGCCGGTGGGATCTGGTGTATTCTGTGTATTTTTTATCTTTCCGGAGTCCGTGTTTTTAGATTGGCTCAATTTTGCGTGCGCAATAATCTGTGTTTATGGGTGTGTAATGAACCCAGACTGGACGATATTCGCCAGACGTCGAAGTACGAGATAACTCAGATGTGAACAATGTCTCCAATAATCATGAATGTGAACTCTGATACAATGTCTCGTTACCAGTAGACGAAGAGAGTGGAGGGGGAATAGACGGTTTAGAGGGTGGAAGAGAGAGTAACATCAATGACCATCAAGCAGA